AAGGTTTGATGGCTTCATTGTGTCCCACTAATATTATCTTCGGGGTGGTCCATGATTACTGATTATGATTATTCTATCTCTCACTAGATAGAAAAGGGCCGGACTTTGATTACATTGTTTGGATTAATGTTGTTAAACGTAAGCGAGGTCGTGCGATGTATTTTTTGATGTATTATAAATCTTCTATATTTGAAATAAGTACGAGGGAAAACTTAACCAGTACTTTATTTGGGAAACTAAACAGAGTAATCCCTTATAATAAGTAGAACTTATATAACAATTTCTTATACATAAGCAAAATAATAGAAGTATAACGAAATCTAAACGTATGTTTATACACAGAGACAGTTCCTTAACAACTTTCACTGAGAACATTTATTGATATAAATAAGAAAAACACGCTCAAAGAAAGAAACATTGTCTCCAACTGTAAAAAAAAGGTTTTTTTTTAATTACGTGATGGTAATTACTGTTCGTTCTATAAAGATTTCATTGCTTAAAACACAAAATTGAATAGCAACTAGTTCACAATTGAATTTGTTGTTCTAGTGGTGAGTGAATAAGCATTATTTATTTAAAGGTGTAGGGAAACATGGCGAATTTCAGTACGTCTATCAACCATAAAATTTGGACAGAACTCGTCATCTACCAATACCTACCTAATCGACCAGCGATGCAAATGCCTATTCAGAGGACAGACATGGGAACTATTAAATGTTTATGATTGATTTTGAGCTAACTAAAACGAGAACTAAATAGCGATTTTATATTACCTGGCGATTTTATATTAAATGTTGTCTGTCTAATAAACATATTCCATCTGGTCGTTTCAAACAGACGCTATTAAATACCATAACGATCACTCACCTCTTTCCTTATTTGGTAACATTTGGTTGAGATATCTTCTATGATTTATATTCTTGTATCTTACAGATTTTATTGCTTTCACCTGAGCCTGAGTGATCCTCTAGTTAATAAGGAATGATATAAATTAAATTAAGTGTCACCTTAGCTTTTCATCCCTTTTCTGTCCAGCTCCTGAATTTTAACACCGAAATATTACCGCGTGAGCCGAGTACGATAAACAAAATAATGACGATGAAATATCATCATATATAATACAATTTTAGTATTACATAATATCTTAATGCTATACTTTAAAAAAGGAAACTAAATATCGAACATTTATTTATGTCGCTTTGTTGATGTTATCTTTATTGCGATGTGTGGTAAGAAGCATAAAAAAAGAAAAGCTTATTTTACCTTTTCTAATAAACATAGAGTTGCAACTAAATCGTAAGATAATTCGTTATATATAATATTAACTACTGAATTACACAACTCAAAAGTTTATGACAAAAAACATCAAAAGTATGCCGATTTTTGCAAAAGACCCACACAATTTAAATATATATAAATAAATTCAACGTAAAAGGGTTGAATTTATTTAAAAAAATTGTCTGGACAACTTAGTCTAGCCCCTGCAAGAATGATTCTTAGTGTTTTTTTAAATTCATGAAAAATGTGCCCAAAGTCGCGGGTTTATATGTACATACGCACTGCTGTAAATTTGTTTTGGACAAAATAATTCCCGCCTATGATAACTCACATTCAACGCTGGTGACAGTAAACACGCCTCACCTAGCCCGGAAGAAATTATCAAAGGGAAATATGAAATAAAATTACCCCACTTCGAGCGAGGGTGCCAGTCTCCGGAGCGGAATCTCTTCAGCTTTTCGCTTTTAAATAAATCATTTCTGTTTAAAGTAGGTCGCTCGGGGGTTTATTTCTATTTGAGATCAGATAAACTGTTGCTGAATTTCATTATGCTCGAGTAATGCTTAACACGCCCACCTCTTCATAAATCACTCTTAAAAGCTAAACCTTTTCTGTACTATAGTTTTCACTTGTAACTTTTATGTATTCTTGGATAATACTAGTTCTATATTAAATGAATATTGTCTTTAAAACTATCTTATTTTTATTTCTCTGATTAATTACTGCTTGCGGCGTTAAATCTCTGGAGAAATAGCTTTTAAAACACAGAGAATTTTCTACTATATATTGCTATATATATATCAACTTACATATATATTATCAACTGTCATATTTTACATCAGCGAGAGGTCTTCACCTAAATGTTAGCACTTGAGTTAAGTGAAATGTCTTGTATCGGTTTCTGAAGTTACGGTTCAAATAGAGGTTATTGATAAGAATAGCTTCCGTATTGTTTACACATGACAAAATTATATTATTAATATCACACTTGGCGCCGTTTGATTAGTGTCATAGAGTCCGTTCATGTATGACGCAAGCACTGTGGGGGGTTTCCTTGGATATTTTTCATGACCTTGAGTATAGGAAATCTAGATAGTGATTGCGTCAGCAGTTCGAACGTCCTAAGCTAAAATGGGTCGACGGCGCATCTTGTGTTAATGTTATATGGCTTGGGTCTTTCACCTCCCATCAAGTGAACCCCGTGTCTGTTCTCCTCTTACATTAAAAAATAAATCTATTAGTCCTCTTATTGGACACTAATATTTTATTTTATTCATAAGGTTCCGTTAGTAAGTCGATCGTTAGCGTAAGTAAACGCTATCCCAATAATTTATTATTATACAAATACTTTACTATTTCTACAAATTATAGAATCTTTAAATCAAAGTCATAATAAAACTCTTATCGAGTAGAAAATCACACCGTTTCTTTTATTTTCGCGAAGGTTCAAAGCTCTTATTTTTCGCTAATGGGTTTTTCTACGCTTAAGTTCGCAGACAAATTGACAAAGTTACTGTTGTTTAAATTGGATTGTTATTATGGATGGACTTGACAGGTCGACAGCATACAATTTTGATGTTTCTTGATGATTATATCCTTGATACATATACCTAGAATTTTTCTTGAACAAAACACATATATGTACATATACTTGAATTGAATATTACGCCATTAAGGACAAACATCTGCACTGCTCCGTTTTTTAATTAAAGTTTGTTTTGTTTTAAGACGAGATTAAAGAGAAATGCAGCAAATCATACGCGTGCTAGCGTTTGTTTGTTTATTTTAAACGTGTACCTAGAGTGTTTTTGTTCGTTCTTAGAATAGACTGTGATGTTGGTGGTTTTTTTTTAATTCTTGTAGCGCGGAATCATACCCTTTACTTTGTTCTAAAGATCGGGAAATATTTTTAAAATCCGTACTTTTTTATGATACAGGAAACAGTCAAGCGTAGACTTAATCAGGTTAATCAGCCCTTCCCTAAGATCTAGAGTAGATGCTGTTTCGTTTTGGATTTAGAAATCCACAGACTGAACTCGAAACGCGATTAAACTTCGCGGCTTCTCACCTGGGACCGATGATCCATGACTTGGACGGAAATTCGATATTCCTAGCACCCATTTAATATCCAGATTTCAAGACGAAGTCCAACGTTTCAGAAAAATTATAAAAATGTTAGATCCAAGGGGGTCAAACCCACGACCCGTTGACTATTAGTCACACATTACTACCATTTCACCAAGGATTAGAGCTTTTTCTCCAAGTTTCTCTTCCGAGTTGGACTTGTCAAAAATCTATACTTAGAAATAATACCTAAGTATATATTTTAATAGTTTATACTAAGATTTGACGAGAGAAGAGTCGGTTCTGCCGTCCCCTGCTTTGCCAAACATTAAAATATCAAAAGGTTGTGGTGTCGCGTTATCGGCCGCCCCTCACTTGGGGATGCCACTTGATTACAGTTCGGTGTAAGACGTAAGCGGAAGCGATTAGAAATATTAATTGAATTATGCTAAAGCCTACTGTTACGTAAATGTCTGGTTTTTTAACAAGATTAAAATTTGATTCATATCGTAATATCAATGTCCAATATTCAAGTATTTTAGTATTTTATAAGTTTAAGCTAGTTGACGCTGGAAGTTGTTTACTTGTGCGCCGGTCCACATTGACCCCACATCTCGCCTTACAAATAATAATGAACCTTATACCCTTAGTTTAGCTGATACATTCGTTTACGCAGTCTCAATTCGTGTTATCCCAGACGTGATGATGAAGGCACGTCTAGTTTCACGCAGTGTTGCATACCAATAGACCAATAGATATTAATATAAAACAAATTATTCTCTCTATATTGCTTTTATACTTAGCTTTCTTCTGATAGATAATATAGGTTACAATTTCACTCTTTTTAAATACATTTTTAATAACTGTTATTTACTAAGAATAACTTTTACGAAAAACTATTATGATTCTAAGTTATTTTCGATCATGGCCTTAGTAACATTTCTGAATGTAACTATCACAAAGCAACGAGGGTTGTACCCTCATGTCAATAGCATTGTTGACAATTTCATTTGTATCGATCGTATTGATGGTTACTTTCAAGTTTCAAGTAATAACTTTCGACACGCACGTGGAAGGTTTAACAGCAGTAGGAATATTTTTAAGATATTCTGAGTCCTCATTTATACTCTCGAGTTTGCGATTTGTATGGGAAGTTGATTTTGACAATCTATTTTTGATTTAAAATAAATTGATTAGAATATTTGAAGAAACGCTGCTATCTTGCAAGTGTAGTCGTTTTTTTTAACTGTTGCTTCTCGCTTTTTTAAATTAATTGTTGGCTTTTTTCGTTCAATTATAAGAAACTGTGCGCGATATATTTGCATATAATAATTATTGCTGTCAACTTGAAATCGTTGGATATTTACAATTCAGCACGTCGCTAGCTTATAAGGGTCGCGCCCCCGTTAGTTCTTCGTATAATCTATAGGGCTGAAATAAATTTAAACATCCGCTCGATGGAGAGTTTATTGCATTACACAGTGACTTAGGGTGAGCTATAGACAACCGTGACTGAATACTAAACATCAATTTTTATTTAAAAGCATTGAATTTCGAGTTTGTATATGTATTTCTCCTCAGAAAGCTGTTAACTCGTAGATTATAAACATTATGAATAAACTATATAAATCTATAGCTTAGTCTAATCTTCTTTACAGATGCAGGAGAGCTATGTTCAAATAAGGGCTGCTGCGGCCCCAATGCCCGACCTAGACTAATACAACAGGCGCGTACGCAGCTCGAAGGAACGCTACGGACTGAACTTACCAAATTAGCAGACATTCTAGGGAATAAGGCAAAGAAATTCGATGGTAAGTCCTTTTATCTTCTTATCTATACAAAGGAAAAGTATGTGTGTATGAATGACAGTATCAATGTAAGCATGTTTAATGCCAACGGCTAGACCGATTTTAATGAAATTTCGTGTAAATATATTGTAATATATTTAGTAGTTGAAGATCAAATATAAAATTGAGTGCAAAATATTATTCTGTATCTGTATGTTATTAAAATAATATTACATCTATAAGTTTTGCCATCGCATAGTTGATGAGCAAAAATGTAATTCTAAGAAAATATCTCAGTTATTTTTTTTAATTGTTCTATTTTTCTCTATCCTCACAATTAAATGACAAGAAGATAATTACTTCATCGTATGCGTTCTTCTTTTTCCAATATGAATCATTTGTTCTCGAAAGTACTTTTGCACTAGCTTAAGGAAAGTCGAATATTCCATTAATTCTTTGATATGAGTGAATGTTTCAATTACATAGAAATATGATAAAAATTGTTTACATTATAATATTCATACGTCCTATGTGAACATATATGTTTGTCTTCAATTAAAACTTTAATGTAATTAAATGTTTTGAATGTGCAAAAATAAGATAACAATAATGTCAAAAAGTTCATAGGCTTTTATATTTAGCCATTATATTGACGATGATTTTTAAAACCGTTTTAAATTTATGTTTTTAAGTGTCAATTAGCAAACGGCTAGTAATGCTGATCGAGGTTCGACTCTTGCCTGTGTCATTATTTTTTTCAATTTCAACGCTTTTTTATAAATGCTATTACAATTAAATTCAATCTTAATTATTGAACTCAGTTTTTTGTGTCACTTGCAACACGCGAGATATGATAAGATTAGACGTTAACCATTTCATTACTGTCCGCATATATGTATATCACTAGCTGTGATCGCGACTTCGTCCGCGTGGATTAGTTATTTAGGGCATCAAAATTAGTTTTTGCAAACCTCCTCATTTTTATAAATCTTAACTATAAACCCCGAAATCGTCCGAATTTTTTCCAAATTTCCCACTGTTTCTTCGCTCCTATGTTTCGCGCATTAATGTTTAAAGCCTTCCTCGACAAACAAAAAAATGTTTTTCAATTTGAACTAGTAGTTCCTGAGATTACCGCGTTCAAACAAACAAAAATTCGTTTAGAGATCTTGCTTAAGATCTGGCAAATGTTATGGCTATTAGGTACGCGCAGTTTTAAAATAGTTTAATAAAACAGTAGATAGCGTAGGCGTGTAGTGGGCAGTATAACCTTGTACTGCGGTTCGACAGTCCTTATATGCGTTCTAATCTTTTGACCCCGACTAGCTGAGCTCGCATTATGACTTCTAAGGCGTTACACAAGTATTTTCCCTGACATTCCTTTACGTATTATAATTACTGCTAAGTACTGTGTAACATGACACTAAGTTTAGTGGAAAACAAAACGTCACCTTTAAGTAGTGTTTAAATTAAGAATACGGAAGAGAAAAGTAGTATAAAACGGCGATTCATTTGTTTATAATATTAAGAACTAAATCCGAATCAGTAGTAACTTCGCTTACACTTTCTCGGTCATTCGCAAGTTTTCCTACAGACGATCAATCGCGATCAGAAAAACAAACTCATTTCATAAGTGGTCGGTTGTTGAGTCTACCGTTAGGCGGCTTAATCACTAGGCTCCTATGTAAGTGCGGGTAATTAAAGAAAACGTGTGAAAAATAATACAAAATGTACTGTTTAATCTAATAAGTTATATAATTGTGAAGAAAAGATAGTAAGAACTCTTAGATCACCAAGAAACATCGTTAGATAAGATAATTTAATTTTAGAATGTAATACATTCGGTCACAACGGATAACTATAGCACATCTTTGTATTTTATATCCAAAATAAGCAAACAGTCGCGCAATCTACACAATAATATATAACTAAATGTCGTAGTTCTAAGGAAATCACAATTTGCAGTAAAGCCACGTCCACTGGCTGTTTTTGAACGTGTTAAGCTATCGGTGTATACACGGCCTTAAAACTGCCGTGATATAAATAAGTGTGACCGTTGCGGGTTATCGCGAGAAAACAGCACTCTGCACACTCATGCCGTTTTCTTGATTCAGTTTAAGAAATAACAATATTAATATTTCTTGTAGGTCTTTAGAGTTCGCCGCCGATTACGTAATAGATATATCTTTATTTAAACGCTTTAACGTTAGTTTGATCTGCGAGGATCCAGCCAGCTTCGAAAAATACCAACTACGGGGGAACAGATGGCGCTAGCGTAGCAGTTCTTATTTTGACATTAGGGACGACCCTCAGTTTTCTTTAAAAAAACATCGGGCCATAGTTAAAATACCTAATTTGTGTGTTGTATTTAAGTAAATACAACACTTTTCACGTGTGTACCTTTTTACACATGTATGTACCTACCACTTGCGTAAACTGCTTCCAATATCCAAAGTCGAAATAAAAAAAAGGCTGTAAAGACAGTATCTTTTACAGATATATCTCCTGATGGTAATGATTACTAAACATTATCAACGCTTAAGCTATCTTCTAAGCCTAAGCCTAAAACCTCCTTATTAATTGTATAATTTAAATTGACGTAAGTCGTGCTTATAAAACATTAATCTGTATGTACAGGTGTTGAAACATTCCGCATTGCAGTTATATGAAGTGGTTTGACTCTCGTTTCTGTTTATAATATTCGCGACTGGGAAACGCATATTTTGCAAATTAATTTAGGTGAGCTTGAAAAACAGCTGCTTACTAAATGTACCAATTAGTAATACGGAGTAGAACTAACATGTTCCCATTTTAAACATAAATTGTAAAAACTATTACTCATTGAAATCGATATCTATATAAAGCTGAAGAGTTAGTTTGCTTGAACACGCTAACCTCAGGAACTACTGGTTCAAATTGAAAAAATCTTTTTTTTGGTTAGAGCATTTCCCGGGAAGGCTATAGGCTGTAAAAGATTGCGCTGTACCAATAAAGGCAAAAAAATGGATGGGGAAAAAAATCCTCCTTTAGAGTTTCCCTTGCGTGAGCTGTCAATACGTTTCAAGATATATGTATAAATGATGTGTGAAAAAGTAATTCCTTTAGGTGATCTACAAAAATCAGAAAAGGTATATGTTTATTTATTAAGGTTGCCTTGCGAGAATGACGGGACGCGATCAACGTCGTGGTGGTCAGCTAAAACTTAGAAAGATGGGGAGGAGGTTTGCAAAAACCATTTTGACGCTCAAAATGACTTTTCTACGAGAACGAAGTCGCTGGCTCAGCTAGTTTTGTAATAAAATAGAATTCTTTAATTGTATGCGTTAAAAACATCGATTAACGATTTTCTCAAGTTACGTATGTAACGTGTGTTCGTGATCGCTTAATGAATTCTGTGGGAGTCGGCCTTAATGCATGAGTGGATGGATGGGAAACTAATGTCAATATTAGCAGTAGGCGTATGATGGACACAGTGGCACCACACCGTTTTGAGTTAATTAGTATCCGTATACCTATGTTCGAAATATTGAATGCAGTGACCCTCCGTGTAACAAGAATGAATTAGACGGATTAGATAGAAAGAAAGATAAAAAAGGAAAAACGGTTAGATTTAAATATCTCTATATAAAAGTAACTTCTTCATGTAGTAGACCGTCTCCTTGGCTCAATTGCGTTTAACGCCAGGGGTACTTGATTTGAATACCGGGAAATCAAATACTGTCTATAGTTTACGCGAGTAGTACACATTTAAATAAAACACTTTAACGGTTTAAAACTCGTGGTAACGGTTAAAAACACTTTAACGGTTTAAACCGTTAAGCCGTGGTCACGGGGAGACTGTCGGTCTCCCCGTGACCGGCTCACCGGCTGCTGCAAAGCATCCGAAACGTCGGGCCAAAGTTAAAAATCATTTCCAAATAAGTTTAACTAATATATCGCGTTTTAAACCGTTAAAATATTTTATTGAAATACCGGGAAATCATTAACAAATTTAGTCTGTCTATAAATGAAGAGAATCTGGTATTAAAACAGACTTTGGTGTTTGACAGAAAAGGGCTTATTTTTATTTTTTAGTAATATATTGTTATCTATCTAATTAAAATAAAAGGTTTTAATGGTTTAATACGGGAAAAATATTAGTTAATTTATTGACAATTTTTTTTTCTACGACTCCGTGAACACAGCTGGCAAAACATCCGAAACGTCGGGCCGTAGTTAAAATAGTTTGCTGATGAGTTAACTAATATATACCGTGTTAAACCGTTAAAAAGTGATTTATTTGTATACTCGCGTAAACTACAGACACTATCTATTTTATTAGTCATGGTTAGCTCTGTTCAGAAAAGTTATACTGTTTCTACACGTAAAAAACACCGTGAAAACCGCGTTCGTTTGTTTCCTTAGAAAAGTTTTTCAGTCCGTCTATGGGGCTTGATTCGCGCGATATAAACGTAAAAGGGCATCTTGAAACTTCGTCGCGCAGCGTCAAAAGTTCTTACGGTCTCAAGTAGCGTCTCACAAAGAATTTTCACTGTACACACTCAAGGAAGAGGAATGTTTGCTGAACTCATAACTGCGCTGTAATAACTCTTTTCCTTGTGTGTCGCGCTCAAAAGCCCTAATTGCGATGTAGACCGTACATGGTCTTCGCGACTGGCTCGAAAGTGCGCCACCGAGAAAACTCCATTATATTAATTGACCGGATGGAAAATGATTTATATCGAACTGCGTGATGTATCCGCTGTGTTTTACTGATTAAATTTACTTTTATCAGCACACACATATTATATAGACCGTCTCTGTAGCTAAGTGGTGTCAAAACACCGGCCGACCTGTTTTTAAATTAAAAGTCGAAATTTTCCTTAACATACAGATATACACTGCAACATAGACTCTAGAGTCTAGATGATAAACTAAATAATAATGTTCTTATTCATAGACGCTTTAATATGTACACAGACTACTATAAATTGACTTAGCATGTACTTTGTCATCACAATATATAACAACTTTTTTAATGACTC